AGCAAAAGGTGTACGAAACTGAACCTGCTTCAATATTGGATATACGGCAGAGAATAATAAATATTTGTAGAGATATTGACGGTACTGTGTTCGAAAATGTTCGGCGTGAAATATCTGATAGGTTGTTTATTTACCAAGAAGTTCAAGGCAACCATTTTGAGCATCTTCTGAACTGACCTCAAGCTTATTACCTCATATCATGTAGTTAAATGTCAATGTATTCAGATATAATATAAGACTCAAAATTATGTTAAGGTGGCATGTGCAAGGTGTCTCAAGTGTTACTCTCTTTGAATCCAAGAATAAATAACATCCAAATCCATAAAAACATTTCTGCTTGTTTGCCACCACTGTCTTGGAGATTTTTTCAACTAAATAGTGCACAATAGTGCTGCTGCAGCGATACTGTAACGAATCTGAAACCGCCCCTGGCTGATATGCCGGCCAGCGAACAAACACATGACATCACCGCGAAAGAATGCAGTCGGCAACCGCCGGTAAAACTCTAGTCTAGTACCGAACCGACTATAGATTTCTAGAAATAACCGTTACATTATACAAGCCCGGCTTCCCTGTGGAGGGCTCAAGTTCCAGAGAGACGATTTAACGCTAGAAACACTAGGAAAAGCGTACTGAAGTCGAAGAGTAACTTCGAAAAAGAGCAAGTATACTTGAAACGTTTGCGATATATCAGAGAAAGGTCTTGTTTGGATGATAGCTTGCACTCCATACAACGAAGAAAACGAATATCGCTTCGTTTTAATTACCTTGTCGACTCATTTCGAATGCACATTTGACGGAGATACACTGGAGAGTGTATTCATCACTATTTGAACACCCCGGGGGCTATTTTACTCAATTTTTGTATTAAAAAACGTCACCGTGAACTTCAATTTCACCTTTCGGGTTTAGTGTTGATGCATATACCAAAATCCTTCGAATACCGTTGATACTCTGGTAGAAATGTGTTCGCAAAGGACGGGAGTTTCATAACCATCGATATATAAATTCAAGAATGGGGAAAAAATGAAGCTGATCACCAAAACAATCTTCAGAAGAAAACATTGTGCCTATTGATGAAAACTACAAACTTGCAATTATCGAAGTACAGTACACTCCAAATCAACGTATGTCACCAATGATAGGCTTAATGAAGAATATACCGTTGGAAAGATGTGGTAAGACATAAACATAACAAGTTCACATATTATTTATATACAGGTATGAACCTAACTCCATTTTTCAACACCCGTTCTCTAACAATACACTTATATGACCATAACACGATATATACCGACTTAGCAAAAGCCTTTGATAAGGTCAACCACAATATCTTGATAAAGAAATTGCATGCATATTCTTTTTCAGAAAACTTATCATCTTTACTCAAGTCGTATCTTTCGAATCGCGAGAATTTTGTGAAATTCAACGATAGAAAATCAAATACCTTCGTAACATCTTCGGGTGTACCACAGGGCTCAATACTAGGTCCTTTGCTCTTTGTTATGTTTGTCAACGATATATCTAATTATATTAGGTATACAAAATTTGTGTTATACGCTGATGACTTGAAAATTTACAGATCCATCAAATCATTTGAAGATACTGATTTCATACAAAANCAACAGAATTCAGAGTGGGGACGGAGTGAGAGAGTAATAGATACAGAAAAAGTGAAAAAGGAATAGCAACGCGGAGAGGGAAATATAGGTATGACACAGCTGCACGCATTAAACTTTATCGACGAATTTTTGTCATTTCGAGTTGCGGAAATCGTCAAATTATATATTTTTCGTTATCTTTGAATTATTTCCTTCAAAATGAAAAAAAATTAGCTACGCTCGAGAATGTCGAAATGACGTTATTTTTTTACAACTTTGCTGCCCTTCCCTTTCTTTACGTCACTCTCAAATTGTCAGATTATTGGAATATACACTTTATAGCATGTAATTAACCCAACCTACCTTAATCTGACGCGCTCGCGAATTTCTGATGATCAATGTTTTTTTACTAATCTGATTCTTCATCCTTCACGGGCGGCCTTATATACGGGGCTCATATTTGATGGAGGTACTTAACCGAGTACAAGGTATCCCCCTGTATATTAATCTGCCGCACTTAAGTAAATCCTGACATCCCTGCTTGGGTTCCCCTATGATTAGTTGAATATCTGTGAATTTAAATACCCTTACCTGATTTGGGATATCTTATATTGCCTTGATAAAGTATTTATTCTTTGTTAAATCCCTGTTGGGTACCTAGTTTATATCCGGACATTTAATAAGTTGCAAGACAAAAGAAACGTGTTCATATGAAGAAAAAGTTGCAGAAATGAACTGTGAAGTGAACAGTGTGTTTATTGTATTTAAGTTGAGGTGTGCTTCGAGTGGAAAAACTGAAAAAATACAGGAAAAACTAAAATAACTGATGAGAAATGGTGGTAGATTTATTTCAAGAAACACGTGTTAGTTGGCAATGAGTAGAAAGAAGAATGTAAGTATAAATTGTAGAAGTTAATTGATGATTTCATAACACAAATGGAGAAAAGAATATCAAAGTACAATTGAAAAGTTTATTTATGATTTTCACTACAAAGGATTTTTACCGTAACCTTAACATGTGTTTCGCCATATTAATTAGTTAGTTAATTAGTTTTAATATGGAGTTTCATCAAGTATAAGTTGGGGATGCAGTCAAAATTACTGGGTTGTTGTTTAAAGAATACTCTTTGTTATATGGTCGAGCTTTCGAG